TACGTTATTTTATTAAACTGCTGATCCTGATGTAAACCAAGATCCGGCTTCATTCCGCTGCTGTTTGTACAAGTGGTCCTTGCATTACAGTTTGGCCTTTAGTGGAATAATATATAGATTTAGCCAAGCCTAAAAGCGGAGCTTCTGATAACAATAAGCTAACCATAAAGGAAAAGGGAGAGAAAGTCAAAAAACGATCAATTGTGAGCATGTTAATTGTCGAGCGTGTGGTTTTGCCACCCTTTCTAGTTACCTTAACAAACTATACCCAATAAGCGTACCCAATTTTCCCAAGAATGTAGAAAATAGCATACGCAATATTCCAAGAGACGATTGTGCAAGGAATACCTTGGAAGAAAAGTCAACAACGCACCAGGGGTTAATTCTCGCCGAAATTTTGTCTTTTTGCTCATACCCTGTCCTTCTTCCCTAGAGTAATAACTTAGCTGGAGCTTGCGATTCAATCGAAAACCAATACCTGGGCAGCCGTCAACTTTAAAGAAATATGCGACCTTGATAAGCTCTACACCAGAGCCCGCGATAGGGTCACGTGATACTGGGTCAGTGGATACCTTATTTTGACAGCTGTCAATAAACCATAACATGGATGTCTAATATCAAAGATGTACCTATGGCAATGGTGCTACTCTCTGAGTATGGGGCTGAGCTGGCCTACGCGCAGTGCAAGTGGCCACGGGCGTTCGTACGGACAGTCACATGAAAATCATAATTTTTAGATCGCTGGATTACCAGATTTTCTGGGGTATGGGGCTCCGTTCCGCCATTAATGGAGTGTCGCTTACTTGTCCACCTCTGTTAAGTGGCGCAGCCACCTTTTCATCCCGACGAGAGTTTTCTTTCGTCCTTTCCCCTATTTTAAAAGCTGGCTTTGCTTTGGAAAAGCCTATGACAGATAAGCTAGAGTCCGAAATAGAAGGTGATCACTGATAAGAACGTTCAAACACACGTTGCTTATTGTCTTCACGTGATGTTGCCTTTTGAAGGCATGCTGGTAAGTGGAGAAATTGACGTTTCTATTGAGCCTCGTGCTAATTCCCACGCACCCCTATATTCTATTAAGTGACAACCTCCCATTTCCTCAACCTCGTTCTCAGGCTCTCCCTCCTCTGCCTTAAGGGAAGCAAAGGAGAGAGCCTGGGAATGAGGTTGTCATTTCCGAATGCGGATCCTTCTTAACTACAGAGTTAGAGCAGTTACTGAGGGATTGCAGAGGGCGATATTAAGATGAAGGCTATTTTGGAGCATTCCGCAGTGCTAAATGATGAATTTTACACCAGGGAAAGGTTGCTTTGAAATGCGCAACTAGTGTCAGTAACTGACACTAGCTGCCACTAACTGTCAGCAACTGACACTAGTTGCATGCGCAACTAGTGTCAGTTCCAAACCGCACAAACTTAACTTACTTTATACGTACGCATGGAATTGCTGTTTACACGTAAAAAAGGAACGCTACTGTAGAAAGTCTGTTAATACCAGTGTTTATAACCTCACAACTTTTGTGATAATACGAGTTTCTTAAAACCCATACTAGTATTAAGCACGTGGACGTCCTTAATCTATTGACACTGATTTAAAGTTTCGGAATTAGATCCCTTTTAAGTTTTAGAGATTTTTCTATTTTGGTCACGTGACTGGTCAAATATGGCCATCATTTGAAACTTTTTCAGGACTCCTTAATGTAACAAACCCGTGCAAAGAGCTTATTCTCAGGTGGTGTGGTTTCAAAATATGAAGGTTAAAAACCTTCCTTAGCAACAAATTCATGACCAATTGGTCATGAATTTGTTGCTAAGGAAGGTTTCTCGGACACAGGGATGAATGGCACACATTAATTTTAACTATGAGGCTGCTTTTGTGCGTAGAGGAAAGGATAAATAGGAAAATGAGAGCAGTCGTAAGGAATAACTAGTCTATGAATCATAGGCTGATGGGAATAAACCGATAATAAATAAATGAAACAACTTCCCCCTGCCGGAAATCACTAACAAGATGCTGAGATATGATAGATGATTGATATATAACCAACCTCGCCAAGATTTTGGTGTGGTTATTCATTCGCGCGTTATTCAAAGAAGTTTTTCACCAAATTTATAGAGCTTTGTATAAAGAAGCCACGTTTGGACCAATAAAATTATGACAAAAAATGTCGATAAACAATCGATCAGAGTTCTAATTTACTCTTGCCCTTTGGCACGCGACATGGGCGTGCGCTTAAATAAAAGGCGTGCGAAGTCCAATTCTCGTCCAAGGTTGTAAAAGCTAGTTTTTGATTCAAGACTGCTCGAAAACCTATCGTACAACCCATGAGGAAATTTTCACAGTTGATATGTAGGGGTGAATCGCGTTTAAAGCCAAAATTTTAAAAAAATCTGAGTCAGATTTTGAGCTAGTTTCGAAATAGGCAAAATTTCACATTTTCTTAGTTTGCGAAGAATTTGTCTTACAGATTTCTATATTACTTTTCGTGGATGTTCAATCACAGCCAATTTCTAATTCCTGAAATTTTAAGGTGGGGTCATACGGACAGATTTTGAGAAAAACGTCATTAAACCCACTAGTGCCCAGTCTCTCCTTAGGCACTCAGTCTGTCATTTTGGCCATTTATTTAGTTTTAAATTGTTTACATTTCACATAATGGTAAGAAAAAGAGAAAGGAAAGAGAGAAAGAGAAAGGAAAAACAACGTGGAACGTTTTTCAAGACTTGAAAGTTGTGCTTCTGTACTCCATCAAAACTGTAGTAAGCTACCTAAGGTGCACCTGATAATAATTTTCAATACTTTCCAGCAGTTA